TTCCAACCTGCAGTTCGGTTTTACTGTATTCTTCAACCATTCATTGTTGCAATGATTGTTTGTTGTTGTGGTGCTCCTCTCAAGTTGAGACTGACTCCCGGTATGGAAGAAACCATCATTTTGGTATTCTCAACACGGCTGACATCCCATTGTAGATTGGCGTCATCAAAACTCCTCGCATCGCGAAACATGCCTTCCATGTTCTTCACTGCCCCAATATTCCAGGATTGAATGTTTTGGTCAAACGAAAAGGCGTGGAGGAACATGTATGACATGTCTCTGACGCGGTCCGTCTCCCAGTGATCGAGTGGTTGATTAAACGCTCGAGCCGATGCAAACAATCTGCTGGTGCTGGTGACACTGGAGACATCCCAATCGTTCAATGGATGATTGAACCAATGGCAATTCTGAAACATGCCCGAGAGATCCGTCGCTTGCGACATGTCCCAGCGGTCGAGGGGTTCATCGAAATATCGATGCTTCACAAAGAGATTGGAAAAGTCGGCAATGTTCGAGACACACCACTGTCCAATGGGCCAACCGTATTTCGACGCCAATTCTGGATCAAACTGCTTGGAGCTCTTGTATTGGGCCACGGCGTCGCGGAGTTCGTCGGTCGTCTCGAAACACTTGGGGTCGTCCAGTTCGTACTGGACCATGTTCATGGTTGCGTCATCCACTTCCACGGCCATAGAAGCCTTGCCACGCACGGCTTGGCTGTGCACTCCTGGCGGTAACGACGACGAAACGCTGGATGCAATCAGCAAGAGGTAGAAACGATGGAGGGTCATGAGGGTGATTGATGGTTTGTGATAAAGAAATTCATCAGCAATGAGTTTTGTTGCCAGGTGTTGTAATAATGGCGGTTGTTGGGTTGTGACAACTGTGTCCTCTTTCAGAACGGGGTATTTTGCAGTCGTTAAACATTTGATTCACCCCAGCTACGTGTACTTGGGCCGGTGGTGAGCTGAGAGGAAGGTTGGGACCGGCCCAACCAATTCTCAAGACAACTCTCCCAAGACTACCGTACAACAAGCCGCAGGATGGGACAGCCCAACGAACCAGTATCCCAAATATTGCAAACCTATTGGGATCCCCAGATCAGTGGCGGTTGGTTGCCAAGCATGCAGGCAGCATCGCTGCACCTTGCCAGGCTACTAGAGCTGGTGGCAAGCAACTTGCTTGGGCCTGGCTGCTTGGTGTTTGCCCAGACGGCAATTTTGGGGTCCAGGTCTTTGCATAGACTACGACGGTGGTACTCCAAGGATGCAGCTCGCTCGCTCTATCCCAACATCCCAACCATGAATCTCCAACCTTTGGCTCCATACTTCTCACTCTCAAAGCAAGCCGAAGAGTGAGTTCATCACTAAACACGCCGCACCATTTCTGGCTTTTGATGAGCAAATAATGCACGAGGTCAGGGCTGCTCAGCCTATCATCCTACTAGTATAGCTAGCTAGTGGTTGGCTACCGGAAGCTGTTGGAACTTTTGTTGGTGGCACCAAGTCACTTCTGGCTTCCAGTGGTTGGCGGGTTGTGGGAATACATAAATCTGTGGGCTTATTCTATTCATTCGGTACATGAAAGTACCTAACATCAAAATCCCGATGCTAATGGCACAATGCTGTAGTGGCATAGCACGAGTACTTCAGAATGGTAGGTACTCATGCGATATCGACCACCAGCTTGGTTCAACGAGGGTTCTTTCCAGTTCCGGTGCTGCATGACTGGCTGGTGCCCGATTTTTGATGCTGTAGGCGCAAAAGCAAATTGTTCATTTATCTAGCCTAGCTAGAATTGCTACCCAAATCCAACCTGCTCCCCACCGCTTTCAAACAACGGCAAGCAGCACACAGCTTTGATACACGGCGCCCGCATAGCCTCAACCAAACCATTCCTTCCTCATTTATTGTCATTGTTCCATTCCAGATTTGGCCAGATCTAACATGCTACTTCCAAGGAGTTCCCAGACCCCCGAAAGGACTCTGCTGATTGCTAAAGTTTCCGAAAGCATTTTGGTTGTTTGGGTGCATGCTTTGTTGCTGGCGTTGCTGCTGCTGCTGTGGTTGTTGGCCATACGGTTGATTATTGAAGGCGGGTGTTTGCGCCTGTTGTGGGGTACTGACGGGAGCCGTCATTCCCAAGAAATCGTTGTGCATATTGCTGCCTGCGGCTTGACCTCCATAAACAGGTGTGTCTATATCCAACAGGCCACCCGAGGAAGGAGCAGGAGCCGGGTGATGGCCATCCAACAAACTGGAAGAAGCCGGAGCAGCAGGAGTGCCAAAAATGTCCAATGATGGTTCTGGGGCGTGGGAGGGTGCTGGTTGCGGGGGAGGCGCGTGTTGTTGGGGTGGAGCCGAACTGGATACGTTTCTGGTTGGAGCCGAATGGGAGTGAGGAATGGCAGGTGGTGCTGCTGATCCGGCATTGACAAATTCTTCGTCATCTTCATCGTCTTCTTCCTCCATGCCCAATCTAGTTGCTTTTGCTACAATAGTGTTACGCCAAGTGGGAGCGGGCGCAGTGTCCTTTACACAATCCATCCACACAGCCATTGCATCTTTGTCGCGGTCGCCCCCAGGAAACAGTGGGCTTTTGAAGCGGAAATGATACCGACCTGGCAACGGAAAGGCATCCCGGATCTGTCCAAGTGTTGGTGGAACCCCAGCATGCCTTGATTTTGCAGCGAGAAAGACATTGGGATATGCTTCATCATCCCCATCTTCTGGGATAAAATAGCTATTGGCGTGGGAGAGACCGATGGTCGAGGTGAGCGAGCAAAGTAGTGCTGACAACGCCAAGAAACATGTTATTACCACAAAAAGATCACAAAGTCCAAAGTCAACCCAAAAAGAACCAACATGTTCAATTCCTTTCTCGCCCATCAAAAATGCCCTACTTTTGGACTCTTCATCATCAGCACACGCAAGTCAATAACCTACCGAATTGTCGTCATCGTGGACTAGCTAGCTAGCCAGACTACAACCTTGTGGTGCAACGGCTTGATGCTGTGCTTTTCTTTCGATTTCTCTCTTGAGTGACTCGACTCGACTCGACTCAGTGAGTCCTGTAGGCACTCCGTCTCCTGCAAGGTCCCGAAACGGGACTCAAAAGATAGTTTCACGCTTTTTGTTAGTTTCACGCTTTTGGGTTAGTTTCACGCTTTTTGTTAGTTTCACCCTTTTTGGTTAGTTTCACGCTTTTTTGGTTAGTTTCACACTTTTTGGTTTAGTTTCACGCTTTTGGGTTAGTTTCACGCTTTTGAGTTAGTTTCACGCTTTTAGTTGTGTTTACATTGATTTACTATGACACATACTGTACTAGTTTCACGCTTTTTGGTTAGTTTCACGCGTTTTGGGTTAGTTTCACGCTTTCTGGTTTAGTTTTACGCTTTTGGGTTAGTTTCACGCTTTTGGGTTAGTTTCAAGGAAACGGTGGTCCATTTTCGGTGAAACTAACAAAAAGCGTGAAACTAACCCAAAAGCGTGAAACTAGTCCCATTTCAGGACCTTGCTGACGTCCTTTGCACCTGTACTATTGGTATCTGCTTGCATGCCTCTCTCCCAAATAATGCTGTGTGTAAATGTATTTGTAATGATATGGGGGCTAGCTAGTCTAGTTAGTACGGGAAGTTATCTACTACTGTAGTACGGAAGCTGCAGGACCGTCCGACGGTTTTCTCTCAGGCTTTAAAAACTGCCACGACTGACTCAAAATCCTGGTTCTCGTTATTAAGCGGATGTAACAGGATGTGAAGATTTATGACGATGTTTAAAAGGATGTTGAATATTTAGGAGGATGTTGTTAAGAGGATGTTTATTTAAGAGGATGTTCATTCGTGATAAGAGGAAGCTCTATGGTGTTTCAATGAAGGCTTAAGAGGATGTTTCGAAGCTTTAAGAGGATGTTGTTAAGAGGATGTATATTTAAGAGGATGTTTAAGAGGAAGTTGAAGATTTAAGAGGATGCTAAGAGGATGTTAAGAGGATGTTTAAGAGGATGTTGTCAGTCGTGGCAAATTCAATGTTTTTAAATCCTTATCGAAAACCGTCGGACGGTCCAGGGGCCAGGCTTAGGCAAAGAAGTGGTGGAATGCAGGGCTACCGGTACCAGAGGGGAATGCAGGTAAAGTTCTTGGGATGTCCATGCGCCTCCAGTTCTTGGGGTGTCCGTTGTAATAGCCAAGCAACTGGAAAGTATGTAGACAACGTTTGGCCGAAGCTGGCGCGTACCGGTAGAGGGACCAAACAACAAAAAAGCTATCCTTCACTAATGATGATGCGTCTCGGGCAGCTAGAGTATCAATTACGATATTCGTACGACAAGAATGGCTGCGTAGCTACTCCGTGCATATCTCACTACAAAGAATGATGCTGATCTTCGCATCATGGCTGACTAGCTAGTACCACCGTATCTGCTCGTACCTACTCGGCACACTATTTCCCGCTGGCTTGGTTCACACCCCATGGCTACTCTCTTGGGCAACATTCGCACCGAGTGGCTGGATACGTACCCGGTACCCTTCCTTGCTCATCATCTTGTAAAAGCTACCCATTTATGTCTCCGTGGATCCTGCAAAGCCAAACCCTTTGCCCCCCGTAATGGTCCTCACTTTCATGCCCCTGATCCCACAGAACCTAGTCCTGAATTTCGACTGTTCTTTGCTTAAGCCTGGCCCCGGCTGGCTTCCGTAGATAATTTCCCTACTCTAAAACCCCCGTCAATCTAGCTAGTACTACGGGGCTGCACTCTGTTTGGTGCCAATGCGATGGTTCTTCTTTGGCTGCTGTACCGGACAAGAGGATTCGTGTTGGCTGTCCACATGGTACCGGTGTATCGGTGTCCCTATTCTTCACCAGGTAATGTGGAAGAGAAGTGTTCACCAGGAAGAGGAGACGACCAGTTCTCAGTACGCTACAGTAATCGTACCTTCGGTTTGCCGGGATGGAGGCGTCCGGTGGGGGAAAATATGAGTCTCAGGCGAATGCAAGTTCGCCGGCTTGCTGGAAGTGCAGCTGCTCTCGTCCACGATGGGAATTGGGAATTGTGTACATGTACCAGCAGCGAGCGATCAACACAATCATCACAATCACCTCCATGAGCGAAGATAGCCTAGTAGTAGCCCAAGCAAAGTACATCCAGTTCAACCATGTCAAACAGTAAACGAAGCTCGCTTGGTGGAAGCGACAGCATTGGAAGCAAGAAAGTGCCAAAAAGCAGCGAACAATCCAGTCCCAGCGCAAGTGCCACCGCCTCGGGTGGCTACCGAAGGGTCAAAGACAATATTCGATCGTGTCTAGATCTACGATCTCCTCTGGCCTTGCCGTTGATCGCCCTCCTGACCGACGGCGATGATGGTATCAAAACTTTCGGTGAATGCCCGCTACTAGAGAAGTACCGCAGCGACAAAGATAAGTTGGCTAAGGCGAAGGATTTGGGCGAGGAAGCCTTCAAAAAGGCCCTGAAGGCGTGGGGTGGCACCTCAGAGACCGAGTTTACAGACACCCATCTGGATGAAAACCTGAAGCATGCATTGAGTGCATGGAACGAGATCTATGGGAAGCTGGATGTTTCGCCCGTCAGCAGTCAAGAGTCCTTGTATGTGGAAGTGGACAGCCAGCCAGCGAAAGCCAGCAAACAAGTCCCTGTCAAAGGAAGAAACGAGGATGGTGTGCGTTCGGGAAAGACGGATATGCTGATGTGGGAACGCGACAATGAACGCTCTATTGCAAGGCCACTGTGCCTGATGGAAGTCGGCCTAACTCCACCGTACACTTCGTGGGAGAAGATTCATCAGGGCCTTATGTACCAGTACGTTGAGATGATGCTCAATTCGGAGCGTTTCAGAGCCACGAAAGCGGACGGGGATTTAAAACAAATCAGCTTTGACCGTCCAATGCTTCTCAGCTCTATCCTTATGGGCAAGAATGGTGCGCACTGTGAATTTGGATTATTTCTTTGTGTTCCTGTCGCTCCTTCGAACGGCGCAGAACACGGAGAATTCCGCGTCATGCTTCTGTGGCGGAAGAGAGTCGACAACAATCTAAACGAGGTTTCGGCAGCGTTTGGTAAAGTCTTTCAAGCTTCGATCGCCCTACAGATATGGAGGAAAGAAATGATTTGGTGTGACTTCGAGTATTTGGGACCGAACTGCGCAAGAGTCGGAGACCGGGTGAGTGCCTTCTGGTTGTTTTCTCTCCTGCTTTCTGCTAGTGGCTCATCAGAGTTTGAATTGCACTGTGTTATCTATATCATAGCTTTACCGATCGTACGACACCCGCTTTCGTCAAACAGACCGCCCCCCCAACCTTTATTTCCTGGACGATGATGCAAATGCTGGAAATGAGGAATACGTGGGCGAAGAAAAGAAGGTGGGGGAAGAGCCAACGCCCATGGCTGGATTCCATTGGTATCCTTCTTCTCCCGGAGAAAAACCAAGCGAGAATGAAGCCACCATAAATATCTTTGCGGCCTCCTATTGCGATCCTCAAGAGGCGTCTGGTTTTGGTTCCGCTCCTCATTCAGGAGACAAGAAGGAATGGTTGTGGGAAAACAAAGGGAGACTTCTCGTCATTTCTGTCCCTTATCGTATTGGGGTTCACACGGCCGAAATTCTCTCCGATTTTGTCCCCTTAATGAAGCATCTCGACCATCTTCATGCTCATGGCAAGGTGCACGGCGACATACGCGCATTCAACATGGTATTCCCACAGAAGCAAAACGAGCAAGGGGAGAAGGAGTCCAAAGGATGGCTAATTGATCTTGATTTTGGTGGTGTTGCTGGGAAGGCAAGTTACCCTAATAATTTCAACTACAACTTGAGCGATGGGTTTCGGCTTCGCTCAGAAGCTGGGTCAATCCAAAAAATGCACGACTTTTACGCCCTCTGCCAAGTTGCCCTGAGAGTGCATATTCCACTTGGAAGAGAAGAAGAGGATGCGTTTGGAGTGAAAGCATTTGGACTCACCAACAAATTTATAAACGAAAAGGATTTCGAGGCAGATAAGAAGATGTTGGAGGACTTCTTGTGTGAGTACGGAAAAGTGAAGCTAGGATTGAGTCATAATTTCGGCGTTGAGATCGGAAAGCTTGACAACCAAGAGAACCGAAAGCTTGACTACCAGGTAGTACCAAGAGAAACCAAAAAACAACAACGAACAAGGACATGAAAAGGTATCCCCCCGAAAGGATGTCGCAACGAGTAACTCGAGTAGTTTGTAGATTAATCGATAGACTGTTGGATTTATCGATGATCGTCGAATGGGTGGTCACAGGCATCTCTTTCGGTTTGGCAACCGGTACTCGTTATCTTTTAGAGCAAGTGTGCAACATATTCTATCTTTCGCCGAGGCGGAAGATAGCCGGCGTGCTGGGATTCATTCGTTGTTCAATCACGTGTCCGGTGGCGTCCGGTGAAACCGGAAAATGTCCGGCAAAAACAGTACTGTAGTCTACCCAACAAACAAGCGCAAACATCAGGAAACTGGCCACAGGAACGTGCGACTTCGCAGCCTAAAAACGAACGCCGACAATAGATACCAATGATCAAGCAAGTTGGCGCTTACCGGTGCCACGAAATAGTTAGCCACTTACTTGGCATCATCGTCTGTGGCCAACAGCCAACATCCTCATGTTCTCCTTTTTTCTTTGTTTCTTGGGCATTGAACAAAACAGAGAATGCTCCCCCTTTCCTACCAACCCTTACCTGGCAAGAAACAAAGAAACATATGCCCCACGACACGAGGAGTTCATAGCTACATGTAGCTGGATCTTCAGTGGTACCACTCCAGAAAAGATTTTTTATTAATAGTAACTGTTGATAGATGAAGCCATCGAGATAGTGTTGCTAAAAGGTAGTATAGATGAAACTACATGTACATGTACCGGTAGTGATAGATGGTGAAAGCCATTTAGTAGAAGGTGATAGAGTATGTATGTAGTGGTACATATTAGGGATCCCAGTCTCCTCGTTAGTTTCCAGGCATGCCAATGGTCAAGGAGATTCCAAATGGCAAGCACGAAAAAAGGAAGAGTAATAATTAAAATACAGAAGAAGACCCTTCACAGCATACGGTAGACGCCGTGGTATCTTCCAGAGCCTTTTGGACCATGACGGATCCAGTAACGGGCCATCCCTTGCCCGTACTGATATTGTGTGGCTGGGGGAATAGCACTTGTGCTGCCGTGGAGGTTCGCGTCCAAGAGCCACGAGGATTGGCTCCGTCCAGTGGTTGCCACCGAACCAGCAAGGGTGCCCGGTAGGTTTCGGCCACCTCCATGAGGGCTTCGGTTTGTGGGACGGCATTTTTGGGTACCGTGGCGAAGATGACTCCACACTCGATGCGTTTCCATCGACGTTGGCAGTTGATGAGTGTTACAATGAGTGCTTGAAAGACACTGTAGACTTGTTGATCCTTGCTGCTGTTCAAGGCATGCAGACGGATCTTGATGGAGTTGAGATCGGGATCTTCGGGAATCGTCTTGGGAAAGTGAGTGGACAACCAGGAAGAGACATCTTGCGGTTTGCCTTCGGGAGTGTCCAAAACGAGGGTAGCATCAATCAAGAGACGAATCTCGCGTTCCTTGCAGAGCTGATAGCAGTGATGGAGAAAGTTGGTGCGCTTAAAGCACCAGCGTTTGTATTCGGCGGCGCGTACGTTGGGTTCCTTCATTCGGACCACTTCCAACTTGCACTTGGGAGATAGCACCAGCTTTTTGAGGGCTGTAAAGATCTTGACATTGTCGAAACGTTGCAGACTGTCGGTCAGGGTGACAATGGTAACATCATGGGCTTCTTCCAGCTGCTCCACCAGGGACTCTGTGCAGTTGCCAGATTTGGAGCCACACTCCAGGTCCAGAATCTTGCTCTTGTTACCCTTCTTCTTGAGGATCTGACGAACTTTGTTGAATTGCTTGGAGAGACCGCCCATCTTTGGAGATTATTAGTATTGTAAAGAGAAAAAGGCGATAGATAATAGATGTGATAGCTGTGTTGAGCGTTGCGGGCGTTCAACAGCAAAATAGATTTGTGAGACAAAACGAAGGGTATCTGCAAATTTGGCTTGGCCGGGCTGCGCTGATGATGGTATTTATTTGGTATTTGGCTATCATATGCATGCAATCATAATGGACCTGCTTACCGGTAAACGAACCGACATAAAATTGCGCACTTGCTAGAATACAGTACAGTAGGACTGGTAGTCTACCAGAAGCATCAAATGTACTCGACTATCTAATTTACATGGAATATGTACAACCCTACGGGTACGAATTGCTCCGAATTAAGCCGTACAAAACATACCAGACGCAATGCGTCGGCGATAGTTGAACTCATAATCGCCGGGTCTTTCAGAAAAGAATTTGACTGTCAGCGGACTAAAAGCCCACGGTGACAAGGGTATTATGCCCTCGAAGTGGTACAAGCTGTGTACTGAAGGATCATACTCAAAAGATTCATGCAGATTTTATCCTTTGGTCCACCGGTTTAGGAATCTCAAATTTAGTGCGACTGTTAATCAAAGGCTTGCCGATCAAAAAAGCCATGTTGCGCCTGTGGATCTTCAAAAAACTCCTCCCATAAATGACATCAGATGGTAATTGATTCGTTTGACGCTTCACGTTAATTCTATTGTTTCCCTGCATGAAAGATACTCGAGAGATGGAAGATAAGGACATTCTGTGTGCCTCTAGTACACGAATGCGTCTGATCCACAAGAGCAGCGTCTCTGAAAGGGGAAAAAGGAATATTGCCTTTCGATTTTTGCGTCTGTCCAAAGGAGCGTGAATAATTTCAGTGCCCTCTGTGTGCTACCTACAGTAGCCTTACTGGTCAAAATGTCTGGCCGTAATAGAAGAGGGGAAGGTCAAAAGATGCATGAGATATGCCAAAAAGGAAACTTCACGCAGGGTTAAGTTGCGTCCATTGGAATACTTAGAGTGATTGTTTCATTTGTGTTTGGTGCTTACCGGTACGATACAGGTGGAGACGCAACAAGAAATCCAGCAAGACAGTTTTAGGCGGGTAGATGCGGTACATATGGGGTTAAAGATACAGAGTACTTTGCATCTTTGTATCAAGAATAAATAATACCGCATCTACTAGTTATCCAAAGTTGTCTTCGAGAAATAAATCCCCACGGAAGGGTGGTGTGTGAATGATCATGCGACCATTGGGCAACAGAGCTGCAACAGCGGTACTGTACCAGTTACCAGTACTGTAGCAGTTGAAGTCCAAACAACAGACGCGCGGATAGAGGATTGCGAAGTAATTGAAGTAGCTATTGAAGTCCAAACAACAGACGTGCGGATACTAGTAGAGGATTGCAAAGCGGCTCGGACTCGCCTCCAGCCTCATCAAAGGCGTTCGAAGTTGGAAGTTCGAACATTACGATTGAAGATAGGTGGCACTTGCTTGTTAGACTGGTACATGTACCTGTAGTGGTAACCATACGGTACACTTCTGCTGGCTTGCATCACTTTATTAGCCGGCATTGATGGCTTGAAGGGACCAATGCCACACATAAAAACAAGTACTAGTACCTGGTACCGGTATTGTCTACCGGTTCCTCTCTTTTTCAGGGTGTGAGAGAGCTGAGGCCACTGTTGGCTTTTTGGGGTCCATGCATATGGGTGGATGCCTTATCTTTTTAGGCTTTGTTTTTGTTTGGGCTCCTGCAAGATGGGGGTTTGGCGTTGCAGTTGTTGAGTGTGTACAAATCGGGACAGGCTTGCTCGTGGGACATGCTCGCGTACCGGTATGCCTTTTCGGCAACATTTTTTATTTGTTTCCAGAAGAAGCTACCAACGTACTAGATGGATTCGCCTTGAAAGAGAGAGACACTGCCTTTCTTTTACACTAATGGATACATCTACAAAAACAACAAAAACATGCATCTGTCGGGTCAATCTCAACATTGATAGGCCTGCCCACTTTCCAGTAGTTTGAAGTTCTCAAGAGCCAGCAGCCAGGAAAACGACAAGCCCGCTGCACCGGCACGTTTGCTTCTCTTCTGTACACCCAGGAAAATACACTGTTGTCCCCGCCCGCTCAGTGGATCCAGTTTCTCTAACAACTATTCTTTGTGAAAACAACTGCGGCAGCTCGTCATCACAAAATCTTTCCGAATCGATTCGATTGATCCTTTAAAGTCCATTATTTGCATGCCGCTATGGATCGATCAGTCCCTGTGGCGTGGACTCCCCCAGAAAACCATTCCAATCAAAGTTGGGATTAGCCACCAACATGGATCCTCTGCCACTGAACGACTGTGCCTTTTGCAATTTTCGTAATCCGGGCGGATCCGCAACAGGCTCTTTCTTTGGTGGCGTGTCGGATAACGTTCGTTTCAGTGGCTGGAATTTCAAGCCGTCGGCGTCTCTTGGCAGAGTACTGTGATCTGAGGTCGACAATCCGTCCTTGGATCGCTTGGGGTTGTCGGGAATGTGGTGCTTTTTCTTGCGACTTTTGCTGCTTGTCGATTTGTTGCTGTGTTCTGAAGAGTCATCCATATTATCCTTCTTCTTTTTCTTGCGAGTTTTGCTGCTGCTTGTCGATTTGTCACTGTGTTTTGAAGAGTCGTCCATATTATCCTTCTTCTTCTTCTTGCGACTTTTGCTGCTTGTCGATTTGTTGCTATGTGTCGATTTGTCACTGTGTGAGTCGTCCGCGTTATCCTTCTTCTCCTTTTTCTTCTTTTTGGACTTTTTTCGGCTCTGGTTAGACCTATCCGAAGAATCCTTTATGGAAGAATCATCCAGTTTGTCGTGCTTACCATTCGTGTTGTTGTTGTTGTTGGCGATTCTTTGCTGACGCGATGATCTCGTGGGTGCACTCGTGATGTTGCTAGTAGGGGAAGTGGTTGGATGAGATGACGGCGTTGGGGTGGGAATTGACTCTGCTTTCCAAAACTCGCTACTACCAGCGTCTTGTTTACTGGAATCCAGGCCCTTGTCCCAAAATGTTTCGTCCACCGAAACAGCTCGTTTTACGGGAGCATTCCCTGGCGACAAGGCATATCGTGATACCACGGCCGTTCGCGGAGCCCCATCGGTGTGAGCCCGTCTAAAATTGGGGGATGATTCTTCCTGTCGTGCGGATGATCGAGTGCCAGGTTCCGATGAATCCGTCATGAATTTGGAAGACTCGGAGGAAAACACGGCCACTTCATTATTCCCCGAGTGATCTTGTTCGGAACTATCAAAGTCAAATGGTTTGACACTGTCTATTGTATAACTGGGTGCACTCCTGGCACTGCCATCCATAATATCGGACAAGTCACTCGCATCCATAAACAAACTTCCGTTGGGAGTCATTTTTCGTTCCAACATCAAGGCACATCGTTGAAGGGTCATGAGGACCCCCGGGTCGAGCTGACTCCCCCGTCGTTGTTTTCCCTTGCGTGCCGATAGTTGGGCCCCTTGCATACCTTTCGAGGGTCCCTCGATCATAATATCTTCTTCGGTAATATTCAGAGACTGCTTGTCGTAATGCAAATGAATCTTGACAATTTCCTTGACCGTCAAGGTATCGGGATCAATCAATTTTTCAAATTCTTCCGGAACGCGTCGTTCGTTTCGTCGGAGCGCTCCCCCAAATTCGACCCGTGTGACGGTATCGTCTTGTTGAATGGCTTGCAAGAGTTGTAAAATGGTGGGCGCTTCGAGCAGTGTGTGAATTTCAATTTTGGCATTGAACCGAATGGGCAAATCGTTTTGGAATCCCTTCATGCGGAGAAACCGGGTCAACGACGCGACAAACTCTCGCTTTTGATCGAGATAGGCTTGATAACTGTCTCCGTCGCTGATGCAGTCCACAAAGAGAATGCTTTTCCAAACCCGCTTTTGAATCAAATTTTGTTGTTGTTTGGATGATTTCTTGCGGCTAAAACTTCCCGTCAATGAACTGCCCGTGCTCGATCTCATAAAGGTTGAAGAGGATGTCGTGGAAGAAGTATTGGAGGATCCTCGTAACTCGGTAGATTGTTTTAACTCGGTAGATTGTTGTTCTTGTTCTTGCTGTTGTGCATCCAACGATTCACTTTGCGTGGTATTCACAAACAAATCGAGAACGGCCTTGGTAAGGCGTGCATTGTTGCGTTCAATTAAATCTTCCAAAACAATCGTGTCGACGTGGATATCAATGGCGACGGCATCGATACTGTCCCGGACGTAATCCTCGGAATACATGTCGCTGCAATACAGCTGGGCATCGTTGGGGGGTGGGGAGTTTGGTCGGGATTCCATGGTGCGATTGCGACGGGGTGATCGAGACTTGTTGCGCAATGGAGATCGATTCCTCCGTTCTCGGCGAGGCGACATGCCATCTCCACTCAGGGTTCTCAGCAGTTTGCTGATGAGATCAGAAAGAGAGAGAAGGAAACATAAAATTAGGAGGGGTATCCAGTTTCAAATCATGATCCAGGCTGTAGCTAACTACCGGTAGCAATACACTTACCCCACGGACTTCATGGTGAGAGCACTACTTGGTGGTCTGTAGTTGTGGCAAGCACAAAAATTGGTAGGGAGGTAGCGATTTTTGGTTGGGTATGGGCGTGCAAAGGGGAGAGGTACAAACTACTCGAGCTTTCTCTTGGTGGTTGATCTGCTTCCAAGGGTGGATGGATAACAGTAGAATGAATCCGGTATGCAGTTGTGGTAACCGGCTACCGTGCTGAGACCAAAATGGTTGTTGCAGGAACTGAGCAGGATGTGTTTGTTGTCTGAGATCTTTCGAGATGATGGCGACCGGTGGAGGAGTGGTGGGAAAAGTGGACGAAGGTTGAAGTGTGACTTTGATAATGACCGGTACCACAGCCACTTAAGAGATCTTTCTGTTGAGATGTCTTTCGTGGCAATAAGGACTGTGAAAGTATAGTACTGAGCGGACTTATGTACTGGTACGACGGGCTCTGAACGGATTTGTGCTCGACGAAAACAGGGCACAACTCTGTGTCCGAGCCTCGTACTATTAGCTATTAGCCAGCTAGTCTAGCTAGCTAGTATCGTACGTACAGCCTACGACGGGCCATCATGCTCATGCATGGTTTTGTCGTTTTGTCGTTTTGTAGCGGCCAGCGATGAGACATGGTCCGTTGTGGTTTCCTTTGCAGAAGAAGCGGGCAAAGAGCTTGCTCGTAGGTCTGTTGGTGGGGTATCGCCCAGTGACACGATCTATCGACAAGCGAGCCAAATATTATTGTTTCCTGTTGGTCTCTCAAGCAACAAACCACAATCCCAAGAATGGGGAGAAAGAAGAGGCAAACCAAGAACACAGGTGAAGCACCTCGGACAACCGAGCAACAGCCCAGTCCCAGACTGAAGGATTGTTAAATTGTGAGCTACTTTTATTGCATTTACTATGTTGGCTAGATAGTTCTGCTTCTCCAAAATCAGTTACAAACTGTTGCACTGACCAACTCTATTGGTGGTTCTGTAACTAAGGAGAGAGCCAGTGCACTGGTAGGCATGCTGTCTACATAGATTGTTGAGTAGGGTGGGCCAGAATGGTGTCAATAATCTCACATGCCCTCAGATGCTGTCCTGGTAACTGGAGCTCCTCCTTCGTCAGAAATTCGGATTGCCACTGTAAAAGACCTTCCCGTTGGGCCTCAAACAATGTGCGAGGCTGAGGCTTAGTGGTAATGTCGGCAAGTTGATGGTTGCTTTCGACCTTGTAGATTGTAATGCGCTTGTCGCGTACGTGCTCACGAAAGTGATGATACTTGACGTTGATGTGCTTCATTCGAGCTCGCATCTTCGGCAATCGGATCATTTCCAACGCTCCAGAGTTATCCTCAAATACGCGACAGTGTACGCGAGGTGATCGTTGATTGTAGTTCCACCCAATGCGTTTAGCGTCGTCAAGGAACTGCATCAAGTGAATGACGGAACGGAGACTTTCAGACGCCGCTAAATACTCTGCCTCAGTGGTAGACAGTGCCACTTCGCGTTGAATCTTCGAGGCCCAGATCACGGGACAAGTACCGTATGTGATTACGTATCCGGTTCGAGACTTGGCTGTGCTTGGGTCATGTGCGGCATCAATCTTGTTCCAGTTGCCAACAAAATCTGCATCGACCCAGCAATCTAGCGAGTGAGATCGTGGGTTCAGAATGATTCCTTTGTCACGTGTGCCCACTAGATAGCGGCCTATGTATTTCACTGCCTTTGCGTGGGAGTCCTTAGGATCGTTCGAGAACCTGGCACACTGATGGACTGAGTACGCCAAGTTTGTGCCCACTAGATAGCGGCCTATGTATTTCACTGCCTTTGCGTGGGAGTCCTTAGGATCGTTCGAGAACCTGGCACACTGATGGACTGAGTACGCCAAGTCCAACCGAGTGGACTTTTCCAAGAAATTCAGTTTTCCGATGACAGAACGATATCCCCATTCCTCGTCAAAAGGGGCACCGTGCACGTCCCTTCCCAATCGCAAGTTCGATGGCGCAGGTGTGGGCTTGCTCTTTGTAGGTCGTTTGTCGTTCGTGTCATCAGCGAATCCAAGATCTAGCAAAATGCTATTGATCAGATGTGGCTGTGTGAGACGAATGGCTCCGTTATCTAGTACCTTGATTTGTACCCCAAGATAGTCGCTGAGTGAACCCTCATCGGTCATCTTGTAGGCTCGGTGTATATTGCCGTCTGCATCAACAAATTCGTTTGCCAGCAAGTCAAAGCACTCTTGAATGTCATCTTGAGACGGTCCCACAAAGATGCCATCGTCTATGTAAAACATGAGCGCTACTGTGCCTCTGTAATAGACACACATGTCAACGTTGCTTTGCACAAAACCCCTGGCCAACAGACCGTCGTGGAGGAACGTATTCCAAACTCTTCCGGCTTGCTTCTGGCCGTACAAGTTCCTCTTGAGCTGCAAGACGTGCGTGGTCCTGTCTCCGTCAAACTCGAAGCCTAGCAGAATTTCCATGTACATATCGCATTCAATCTCAGCTTGGGGAAATGCCAACACGAAGTCTATCTGCCTGGATTGCCAATTGTTGAGTACCATCAGTATCAAGAACAGACGGATCGTTGCCCAGCCAACCACTGGTGAGTAAGTCTCCCAGTAATTTAGGCCATGTATTTGCTTTCCTCCGTGTACGTTGAGCCTCGCCTTCCACTTATAGACTTCATTGGTGGCAATGCGTCTCTTCCTGCGGAAGGCCCACACGGCCGGCAAAACGTAATTTCCTTCAGGCACTTGCGACCGAGGAATAATTTGCCAGTGCTCGTTATCCATGTGTGAGTCCACTTCTTTCTTCATTGCTTCGAAAAATTGTCCGCTGTCTTCCGCGCTCAAAGCGTCATCGTAGTACATGATGTCCGGATTGTTGGACGCGGCGAATGCCAAGGGATCCTCCATCAGCTCCTGCGTTAGGAGTGACTCATCGTGGAAGACATCCCAAGGCGCATAGAATGAGCTCAATTTGAGCCCTTGCTCTATCGCAGTCTGCATCTCCGCGGTTCGCTTGCGTTGCCGCGTGGACCTCCGCAAACCACCGTCGACATATGTCTGCTCGGTCGCTGCCGAAGGTTCGGTGACGATCTCATTGTCTACATTTCGTTGCTCTGTTAACTCTCGAGGTTGTTCTATGACCTGCTCTGGAGCAATGCCGAAATCTTGTTGTAGAATTTCTTCCGCTGTCGGCGCGCGTGAATCGTGCGCCTCGTTAACTCGTCCTTGAGTGTAGGTAGCCGTCCCATAACTCCCTTCGTGCTGGGATGGCTCGAAACGCAGCTCCTCCACACTTTGCTTCTTGTCGAGCACGAAATGTGTTCTTCTCTGCCACAGTGATAGTGTCCCTGGATTGCCTGTCGATGGCCTCCTGGTCTCAAACAGGTCGTCGTGCTGGCAGTGGAACTGTGGTGACACATGTCCAGTGATCAGGCTGAGCACTAGGGCGACCTTTCGCGAGTGTCTGGGCGAATGTCCGAGATAGACGCCGATGCGAGCGCGATTGCCCCACTTCGGAACTCGTTTACCAGCTTGCAAGTTGTCGTCTAGCACGTACACAGGAGACCCGAAAGTGTGTCTGTCCTTGATTTTTGGTGACACAACCACGCCTGAAAACCTCTCCAAAGGGGTGTCTTCTTGTCCCCTCAACGGTGCTTCATTGCGAACGTCGTTGGCCATCCTGATGGCAAACGGCCATAGCGACGCCTCTATCGCTTCTGGCCAGCGCTGTTTGGCATGCAATATCATCGTTCTCGCTGCCTCTTGCAGGTCACGTATACACTTCTCTGCCTTCCCGTTCTGGTGGTGCGCATTGACTGCGCAAAAGGAGATTGTCTGCCCATCTTGTGCTACCTGCCGCATGAACTGTTTGCTGGCAAAGATGCCATTATCTGCATGGTAATGGCTGATAGTTACTCCGTGCGATCGTGCATACCTCTCAAAGGCTTTCTTGGCCTCCACTATGTGCTCGGCATCTGTGGAGATCTGACTGTGAACGAACGAAAGCCCACTGTAGTGATCCACGAACACGGTGGTGACCCTGTACCGCTGCTTAGTGAGGAACCCTTTCATTTGTCCAATGAGCCCCGGTACTGAGGAAATGAGTTGGTCTATGGCAACGACGTCCCCAGGTCCGTGTGGCTCAGGCGCATTGAACGAGTTAATCGGCGCCTTCGTTCTCCATGCCCTCCTGGTGGCTTTTCCGAACATGCAAGCGCTGCACTTCGGCATTTCACACTTGAGGATAGTGGCTGGTAAGTCTCCTCTCCTCGCGAGCGCCTTCATCTTTTCCGGTGGCATATGTGCATGCTTGTAGTGCAGTGCCAGGAAGAGCGCTTGCGGTGACTTGACCTGTAGTTCTTCGTCTTCCGGAATCTCGTACGGTGTTTCTTTTGTCACGAAGACTTCCTGTGGTAGGTCAGGATGTCTGCTGCCGTCCTCGCCAGTCACTGTTGTTTCAGCTTCTGATTCTTCGTCATTAGTAACCAATGGTGGGTGTCGCAGCAGTTCCTTTTCGTCTAACCCGTTGTTGTTTGCTAGTACTACTGCAGCTTATTGGGGAGTAATTTGGTTTTAGATTAAGCTGAAAAGCAAAAGTGAGGATTTTCTGGTGGTGCATAGCAATTCTTGTGATTGAATTGGATATAAGGACCCCCGCAACACTTTAGACCTAAAACTCCCTTGGTTCCTTGCATGATGAATTTACATGCGAACCGGACTAGATGATTAATACACGAGTCAATAGTAAAGAGGTGTCAGGTATGTTTCCTCCAACACACTCCTGCACGGTGCCTAAGTGGCTTACCGTGGAACGGATAAAATAAAATAAAAAAAAATTTAAAAAATTCCAAACAAAGGGTGGATGCCCCATGATGAAAGCCCTGTGCTCGTGAAGAGCTTGCCCTGAAGGGGCTTCGTGAAAAAATCTCCACGCATCTCCAAGGTTGGGCAAGTACACAACTCTAAGTTGCCTTTTCAATCTGGTCATGAATAAAAAAAAAACACGAATGTTGAT